TGAGTAGATGGGTGGGTAGATGGATGGATGGGTGGATGTGTAGATAGATGGGTGGGTGGGTGATGTTTGAAGGAGTGGATGGGTAGAAGGCAGTGCGTGAGTGGAGGGAGGGCGATGGGGGGAGGCAGGAGGTGAGTAGACGGGGGAGTACCCGGCAGATGAAGGAGTGTGAATGCGTAGCAGGCACAGTGGTGGAGGGCGGGTGGGCCCTACCGTAGGGTACGGAGTTACAGCCCAGTCTCCAGAAGGGACAGCGTGCTGGGAGGAGCTTTGGCTGGCACTCAGGAGGCCCGGGTTTTGGTCTTGGATTCGCTGCTGACTCCGTGTGTGGCCTCGGGGTGACTCCCTTGCCCCGCTGGACTTTGCATTCCTGTTTGTAGGAGGGGCCCAAGGACCCAGGGCAGTTTCGAGGGCAGGCGTGAGCTGGCCTTGTGGACCGAGGAAACAAAGGGAGGGCGTTACTTGGGAAGGAAGAGGCCACGGTTGCTGCAAACCACCAGTTGGGCCACTCTTGGCAGGTGCAGGCACAGGCAGCAGCAGGGGCAGCCCTTCCCCAGGGCTTGGTCCACAGTCGCGCCCAGGATGTTGCGAGAGGAGCCAGGGAGTGTCTGGTGTGGAGCCTGGCAGCCTGAGTGGGTCCCGGCTCCACCTGTGTGGCCATAAGCCCCTCTGACCCCCTTTCTTTCACCTGTAAACCAGGCGGAGCGTCGTCGGCCGCGAGGGCAGCCGTAAAGACGAGGGAGTGGTGGTGGACGTGGCATGGCACAGCCCCTGCCCAGGCAGGGAAAGCCTGGGAGATGTGGATGGCAGAGAGGGTGCTCGGCCATCTGCAGAGGCGGGCAAGGGAGGAGGGGCACAGCCAGGACAGGGGCGCACAGCTTTCCCGTGTTTGGCTGGAAGGCTGTGTGTGTGCGTGCACACGTGTGCATGCGTGTGTGTGTGTGTGTGTGTGTGTGTGTGTATCGAGTCTCAGCCCAGGCTGTAAGTCTCAAGTCCCCACCACTCTCCTCACTCTTGTGAGACACGCGAGAAAAGCCAGGTGAGGGTGTGTTGAATGGATGTGGACAGCGCCTCCTTCGTGACAAAGTCGGAGCTCAGAGTTGACCCCCAAAGGGAGGCATCTGGTCAGCTCTTGGCCGTTCTTGACCTCCGAGTTCCCTGCTGTTCCTGGAGTCTGCCTGGGCTCTCTGGAGGATGGTGGTCATGCTACGTGGCCAGTCTGTGCTGGCCACTTGGGTGGGGCTTGCTGGGCTGTGGGGGTCCTGTCCCCCAGGAGCTGGCTCAGGACCACAGAGCCCCTGAGACTGCACGTCATATCACAAGAAGCAGAGGTCTGGGGGTCCTGGGGTCCCAGGGATTTGGGGCCTTCAGGCCCTGCGTCTCCTCTCTCAGAGGCCCGGGGTGTCCTTCACCCCAGGACAGACCTGCTTCAGGTCCTGGCTGCTGCCGTCCCCCATCCAAGAGCAGGAAGCCCCGGGAGGGGTGATGGCTGCTTGTGAGGGCTCTCTGGGCTCGGGGCCACGGGCCCGCGGGGAGCGCGCTGGCACACTAGATGGAGGCCTTCCCGGCCCCATCTCAGCGTGGCGGGACGCTGGTGCTGTGTCCCCTCCCAGGACTGAGCCAGCTCACCAGGGGCCCAGGAGAGGCCGGTGGAACGGGGTGACTGAGGGCCCTCCCCTCCCCTTCTCACCTCCCTCAGGTGGCCCTGGGGGCAGGTCAGCACTGGGCTGGGGGGGCTGGGGCCTGCCTTCCTCAGGCACAGGGCCCTTGCTGTGTGTGCCCCAGGACCGCACGTGTGTGCACAAACGTGTGTGTGTACGTGAGAGCATCGAGTCCCAACACAGGTGCAGGCCTGGGGGTCCCTGGGGACCAGAGGCCTGCCGGACAGGTGACTCCTGGGAAAATGTCTGGAGGATTCTGTGCTGGCCTGAGGCCGCAGTGGAATGAAGGTCCCCTCCGCGTTGGAGTTGGGCCACCCTGGGCACCCGGGGAGCGGGGCCTGGTGAGCCTGGAGAAGGCAGAACGTGCCTGGTGGCCCTCTCCGCCACCCAACATAGGGGAACGTGTCAGCACGGGCAGGGAAGAGCCCTGCTCGGGGGCCAGGTGAGCGGGCGGTGGGTGCTTCGTGGGCTGATCCCTGATCCCAGGTTACTCTTCCTGCCCGGGGCTTCCTTCCGCCTGGCCTGCCCTCCTCTACCCAACCAATGTCTCAGTCATCCAAAGCCTGGCCTTAAGGGCCCCTCCTCCGAGAAGCCACCGGTGACCCGGCCCTGGCAGGCAGGTGCTGCCCTGCCTGCGGGGTCCCCCTTTCTGCCCCATCCCAGTCAGGCCCCCTCCCCCACAGGGTTTGCGTGGGTGTCACGGGCCTAGTGACTGTCCTCGCTTACCACGTCATGGGACTTGGAGAGGAGGCCCCTAGAGACAGCCCAGAGGCAGACCGGGAGGGGAGGGGAGGGGCTGGGGAGGGACCTCGGGGGACACAGGAGGAGGCTGACGGAGCCGGAGACGCAGCTGTAGGCCCCCCGGCCCCCCGTGGGCAGGGCACCCAAAAGCAGACACAGGACGCCTGGTGCAGGGGTGGTGCTTCTTCAAGAGCGGTTGGGGCTGGCTTGCAGGGGTGTGTGGGGTGGGGAGGGCTCTAGGGTCCAAAGCTCCAGAGCAGGAGGAGTGCCAGCACGAAGGCCAGGCTGCGGCGGCCGTCCAGGGCGGGCGCCCCGCCCACGTTGCACAGGTCGTTGTTACAGCAGGACACGGGCCGCGTCTGGCCGATACCGTCCACGTCCGAGGGCACGCACTTGCTGGAGCAGGACTTGGTCACCGTGGAGTCCCCCAGGAAGGGGTACACTGTGGGCCACGTTGGGTGCCCGGTCAGCTCCCGAACCCCAGGGCCCCCAGGCGTGGCCCCGTGACCCGGGGTGGGGGTGGGGGTGGGGGTCACTGCTGCACCTCAGTCCCCCTCCTCTTTCCTTCCGCCACCGTGGGGGTCCTACGTGCCAGGGACACAGCGGCTGACACGGGGATTCCTGGCTGGATGAGGCAGTTCCTCTCCAGGTGCCTCGAGCAAGGCTGAAGGTGCGTTTCCGTTAAAGGAAAGAGGGGGGCAGGGGCAGGGGGGGGCGAAGTGCTTCCACCAAAAGCCCTTTTTGCAAAACGGCTGGGGCCGTGGCTGCGTGCTGTGCACGGGGCCCCCACAGCTGGCCAGGGGTGACACCCGGGAGGCAGCTCTGACCCTGGGACCCCAGCCCTGCCCCGCCCAGCACCCGCTGACCTATCTCCAAGGAGTAGAGGGTGGTCTTGCACATGGTTTCGTTGACACCGCAGGTGGCGATGGTGACACAGCTGGACACACTGGTGGGCTCGTGACAGGTGTAGCATCTCAGGGCCCCCACTGGGTGAGAAGCGGCAAAGGACGCGTCAGGCAGGCCCTGCCCCTCCCCAGCCCTCTGTCCTGGAGGCCCAGGTTCGAGGGGGATGACGCCACCCGGGGGGTGCCCGCCCACCGAAACTCTGGGAGGATTCAAGAGGTCTGGGCAGGAGGCTGGGGACAAGGTGCCCTCCCAGGGGAGGCGGGCCGAGGTGGGGACTGGGCAGCTCGGGAGGCGTCGAGGGGGGGGCCTGCGGGGTCAGGGAGGGCCTTGGTGCGGCAGGACACCCCCTCGGGGTCCTCATCAGCAGAGAGCAGCACCCGACCGAGGGGTGCAGTGGGGCCTCGGGAACAAGTGAGGAGGTGTGCGGGCTGTGTGCATCCACAGGCATCGGCTTAGCAGAGGCGGGGAGAGCCATGGCCCCAGGGGCCAGGCAGGTCAGGCCGGGGGGGGCCCCCGGGTGTGCTGCCCTCCCCTCCTCTGCCGGGTCCCGTCCCACCGCAGGAGCCCAGCTGGGCCTGGCCGCCCGGCCCAGTGAGGCCGCAGGGCCCTCCCCTCCACCGTGTGGCCCTCTGTCTTCAGGTTGACCTCAGTTTCCCCTCCGCCCAGCTCCTTTCCTGGTTGGGTGTGGGGGCCCCGAGGGGCTGGGGTGTCTCCCCTAGCTGGTGACTCGGACCTCCCAGAGCCTTCCTGGTCTTCCCAAGACGCCTCTCAAGGCCCGCCTCCACCGTGGCCCCGGAACCAAGGAGCACGATTCTGACGGTGCCCTCTGCGGCCCGAGGCCCCCAGTGACAGGCAGGTCCCCAGCTGGCACCGGGGCCTCTGCTGCTGCCCCAGCCCAGCCAGTCCCAGCCCTGGGCGCAGGCCCTTTGGTACTGCACCCACCTCTGCCTCGCTTGGGCTGAGGGCCCTGCCCTTCCCTCCGCACTCACCCCCCTCCCCGCCCCGCCTCGCCTCTGCTCGGGCCCCTCTGCCTGCACCCCTCACCGAGCTCGCCGCTGCAGGCCGCCAGCACCAGCACCAGCAGCACCGGCCGTGCCCCCCTCATGGTCCAGTCCTCACGCCGCAGCCACTGCTCCCTCACCCTCGGCCTGCCCGAGGGGTAGCAGACACCGGCGCAGCCACCCGACCGGTCAGCCGAGCAGATTAGTGCGATTGGGTTTCCTGTGGGCGGCTGGGGCGTGGAGACCCACCCCCCGCCCCCTGGGGCCCCTCCCGCCTCCACCCGACACCCCATTCCTCCCGCCCTCCCTGTCCCCTTCCCCACTCCCGTACCTCCCACAGCCTGGGGCCCCTCCCTGCCCCTGATGACCCCTCCTTGCCGTTTGGGGGCCCTCACCTCCCTGTGACTCCCTTACCTGGGCCCCCCATCTTCTCCTTCCTCCCCCATTCCTGCCTCTGCCCGGCACCCTTTCCGCCTTGGGTCCCCATGCCTATCTCCAGGGCAGAGTCCGGGTCTGGGTTCGAATGCTACCAGGGTGCCCCGGGACGCCCCCTCGTGGGGCACAGTGATGGGGGCGGACTGCCGCCTGGACAACCAGCCACGGTGTACTCGGAGGCTTAAGGGGACAAAGACAGGAAGGTGCCGGGTCAACAAAAATGTCCTGGAGGGAGGTTGGAGGTGGGGAAGGGCCAGGATCGCCTTGGGGACGCTAATCCCGGTGTCCACTGGAGGGGCAGGCACACCTTGATCTCTAATGGAGCCAAAGGGTCTGCCCCTCGGGCAGGGCTCACGGGGCCCCAGCGCAGGTCAGGAAGTTGATGGGAAGGGCCTTGCCCAAGGCTCAGACAGGACTCAAGTGTGGCTCCAGCCACTGCTCCCCCCGTATACTCACACACACACACGCGTGCCAGACACATGCACACGCACACACTCGTGTGCACTCTCGCACGCGCACACATGCACTCACAAACCCGCACACATGTGCACACTCACATACACAGTGCACACTCACGTGCACACACGCGTGCCAGACACACACTCGTGTGCACTCTCGCATGTGCACACATGCACTCATAGACCCGCACACGTGCACACTCACATGCCCACACTCGTATGCACTCTCGCACGCGCACACATGCACTCACAAACCTGCACACGTGTGCACACTCACATACACAGTGAACACTCATGTGCACACACGCGGGCCAGACACATGCACACGCACACACTCGTGTGCACTCTCGCACACGCACACATGCACTCACAAACCTGCACACGCGTGCACACTCACATACACAGTGCACACTCACGTGCACACACGCATGCCAGACACACGCACACACTCGTGTGCACTCTCGCGTGCACACACACGCACACTCACAAGCCCGCACACACGTGCAAACTTGCACACATATACATATGTGCAAACTCACGCGCGTATGCACGTGCACACGTGCACCCCCGAGGGTGCCTGCACGTCAGCCTCCACAGGATGTACTCCGCCTGGGACCCCGTCACACCCTCCACCAAGCCCACAGAAGCTACGGGGAACGCTGGGGTGGGGTGGGGAGGGTTGCTGACAGGTTCCTCGGCCTCTTGCCGGGCGGTCAAGGCCGTGGTGCCCAGACTCACTGGGGCCACGCTGCAACCCCACCCACCTCCTCCGTCTTCTCCCACAGGGTCCAAACCTTGGTCCCTCCTAGACTCTGCCCCTGCTCTGCTTCCTACCGCCAGAGACGCCTCTCCCTCCCCTCCCCTCCCCCCTGCTCTCCTGTGGTTGAAATTCACTGTCTGGGGACTCCCCCCGCCCCCACCCCACCGCCTTTCTATGGTCTCTGGACTTTCCCTTGAGATGGGCTCCAGGGAGCTGGAGGCGCTTGTGTGTCCCTGGCGGGGACTGGCGGGGCCTGAGGACGAGGCGCGTGGTGACCCTTAGCACCGGGCGCATGTCGGCCACTTCACCTGCTGGGTCGTAGCATCCTCGCTGCGGCCCTCCAGGCACACGCCACCACCGCCTGTACTCGGGACACAGGGTCAGGGGCTCCCGGCCTTGGCGGGAGCTGCCCTGGGCGGGTCACCTAGCTTGGGCTGGGGAAGCCGAGACGGCGACCGGGCTTGTCTGATTTGACACTTCACCACACCGCACAGCTGCAGCTCGGCGCTGATGTTGGATGTGGCTAACCGGATCAGACACCGGCCGCACACACCCTAGGCTCCTCCTGGTCTAGCCCAGTTCCTTTGCTGCAGCCACACCAGCCCAACCCCTCGGCCTCGGACCCGAGGGCCCCGCCTGTGCCCTCCCTCCTGAACACACCCGTGGCCCCCGGTATTCGCTCCTCCCGCGGTTTCCGCCTGATCCCTGGGCAGCCAGGCTGAAGCCGGCCGCGAAGTGTCAGCTGTCCACCTAGGTCGGGGAGGGATGTGACCCGGGCAGGGTCTGGGTGGGCTCTGTCTAGGATGCCAGCCGAGAGGCCTCCAGCCACCCCTCTGTTCTACCAGGAGCCTCCAGGTCAGGGCCCAGTGTGTGACCGGGGTCAGGGTTCTGGGCGTGACCAGCGTCAGGGCTCAGGGTGTGACCAGAGTCGGGGCTCAGAGCGTGACCAGGGTCAGGGCTCAGAGTGTCACCAGGGTCAGGGTTGAGGGTGTGACCGGGGTCAGGGTGAGCGTGTGACCGGAGTCAGGGCCCCTCTGCTGTTGCCCCATCTACGGCATGGCCTCCCCTCCGGCCTGCCTGTGGGTGACCTCCTCTGGGCAGTGTCTTCGGGCCCCAGGAAGGCAGAGGGGTGTCTTGGCCCAGGCTCCCGCTCAGCGGTTCCCCTGTAAGCCGATGTTTCTACACCGTGAAGGGAGTGCACAGGGTGCAGTTCTCCCCAAGGCAGGCCCGGAACCCTCGGTGCCGTGCCCTTCCTGAGGCCCCTGCGGGAGGTGCCCTGATGCGTGGGCACACGTGTGCTGGTAGGCACCAGCACGCGTCCACGCCGCGGCGGGGACCTTCCACTGCAGCCACACCCTGTGGGTCGTGTGCTCGGAGGCACAGAGCTGGGAACCTTCATGTCCCCCCCGCGCCACGGGGCTCCTTGTCCCCCTGGTCAGGCTCTCTTCTCCCCGCTCTCCATCACCACTGACCCTTCCAGGAGATTCGCAGGAAGGCAGAGCTGGCAAATGGCCACTGTCCATTGCAGGCATTGGGGAATGACCCATCCGCTCTCCGACGAAAACCGTTAGACATCAGTTGTACCTCCAGACTCAGAACCCCTGCCTGGGAAGCCTGAAGGTCTTATCGGGTGCTTACCCAGCCCTCGGCGGGCCCCCACGTTGGGGCACCTGCCTTAAACCAACCACGGGAGGCGGTGGCTCTGTGGGGGCGGGCACTCCCTCCCGTCCACAGGCGTCTGGGTGACATTTCAGGGGCCAGCATTCAGCAACATTCTTGGGGCATCTTAGAGTTTCATGCACGCGGCCGACTTGCCCCAGGGAGCACCCTGCACAGCGCGCACGGGGCTGGCTTCCAGGCTTTCCCTCTCCTCCCGCTTCTCTCTGTTTCTCCCCTGCATTTAAAATTTTTTTTTCAACGTTTTTTATTTATTTTTGGGA